AAATAAAATAAAATAAAATAAAATAAAATAAAATAAAATAAAATAAAGGAAAGGAAAGAAAAAAATATGGCTGAAGATTCATTGCGCACAATTTTTCTTTCACCAAATTTGGTCAGTGTTCAACTTCCGTGGGGCCCAGTGGGAAGATGGCTGCCACTGAGAAGTCAGTGCCTGAGTGTTTACCATCAGGACAGTTCTCTGCCAAGGCAATCCTGCCAAGAAAGTGAAAGTTAAACCCTACAACTGGAAGCTACAATAGAACAGTACAGCACAGTAGCTATATATGGAGAATCAGGCATGGGAATAGGGCATCCCAGTGCAGTGCACATGCTTCACTGCTTCACTGAGAGTTAGAAAGAGACTCTTATGCATGAGCATCTGTGAAGCAAGATTAAGTAGGAGAAAAATAATATTTTTGTCATGTTATCTTTCTCTCAAATGCATTAAAGCCGCTGTTTCCAATTCGGGAACTAATTTAAAAATATATATATTTTTTTCCTATTATGCTTAACGAAGTCCACCCATAAATTTTCTGTAAGCATACTTGATGTTTTTTATGTTATTTTATTATATCCAACTTGATTTCAATATTTCAATTTCTTATATCTTAAAAAATATATTGTAAAATGCCAAGTTGCATTAACAGGAAGAAATCCAGTTAAATCTTACGTCTAACTTCTGTATTCAAAATATACTTGACTCAGAAAACTATTTATTGGAAAAGAAAATATTTGGTCTATATCTTATTTAGTGGGAACCACTCAGAAACAGAACAACTTCAAAAATGAGACAGCCCCTATAATTAAACAAAATACATCCAGAAAATTGTCTGATGAATTTTTCACTAAGATTATACCTGCTTAGTGCAATTTAGTCAAACAAAATTGCTGGTTCTTTGACACTTTTCCAGCAAGATATGTGTGACCTTATTATTTTAGACTTTGAAAGAAATATATACAATATATGAACACATTATTGTATGTGCATGTAATAACTAATTGTGTAGGTTTACTAGTCTAGCTACCTTATTTTACTGTCAGCATTGGTACAGATAGCCAAACATCACTTCTTTCACAGATCCTTGGAAGAATTAACATAATTTGTTCTGATGCTGACCCAAGATGATAAAAAGCAATTTGCTAACAAGTGAGTCTCATGACTAGCCAGGCCGTGGTGCAATATGAGCAAGCACCACATGTCTGAAAATTCAGAGATGAAATTCCAAAGGGCAATAGACTGGTTTGCCAGAAAAGAGATGCAATTTGCTCATCAAACCAAGTTGGGCAAACCAAGCCTAACTCAGCAGGCTCCACTCAGTAAATACAGCGACTTGGACACTCAAACCAGATCCTCTTCTGTGATTGCAAATCCTAAACCATTTACATAACTTCAAAGGTAACCATCATGGCAGCAAGTGACCCTATTATGTCAGTGGCACTATGTTCTGTAATAAAGTTACAGCTTATGGAAATACACATAATCTCTAGTTCCAGGAAGAGGAATGTAGTTTTTTTATATGTTAATAATGCATGTAGTACAAAAATGCCTTGATCATCCATTAGGGCTATGAGGCTTCTTCCAGTTCATCACACAAATGATTGTTCGGGGAGGATAGCAGTAAAAGAGAACCTGTTTATGTCCAAAGACACAGTGAAAGAGTCATATCATGGAATCATAGAATGGCCTGCATTGAAAAGCACCTTAAAGATGATCTAGTTTCAACCCCCCTGCTATGTGCAGGAGGTCAACCACCAGACCAGGCTGCCCAGAGCCACATCCAGTGTGGCCTTGAATGCCTCCAGTGATGGGGCATCCACAACCCCCATGGGCAACCTGTTCAAATGTGAGCAAAACGTGTTCTAATCTGAGCAAAAAATAGAATAAGACAAAAAGACTGAAGGACTGTCTCTAATACTCTAAATTATTTAGGATTTCTCACCCTCCATTTATTAACAATTTCTTTTTGAAAATTGGAATGAGGTGGAAAAAAAAAAACAACCCAAAACAGTGACTGTAGAAAACAATTACTGGGGGAAAAAAATCACTAAAGTTAGATTACCTACCTAAATGTGATGGATATGATCCTGACTAATATTTCCTCTATTACTACTCCCTCACAGCTGTGAGAGGAATTTAAAGTTACTATTAAAAAAATCTGTAAAAAGCCTTTTCATGTGGAAAAATGCTGATAATGAATTAAATGTGCTCTCTGTGAGCACCCAAAGCATACTTCAAAATGCTGAAACTAGGATGTTCTCTGTAAGCAGCTGGTTGTTAGCTTATTGGTCTGGTTTTTCAAGCTAATGATCTGCAGGATTTTCTCACAGTTGGTACACTGTTTTTTTGTACTCTTCAGTGTTGGGCATCAGGCATCGAGGAGGAAAAAATAAATGTAGATGTAATTATGCGTTCATTGTTTCTCATGTACTCTTTGCCACCAAAGGGTATAATGCCATCATTCAAAGCGTGAGGAGGAGGTGCTGCTTACCCATTATAGCCGACTCACAGATCCAGCCTCTAGATTTCAGGAACTTCAGGCCTCTCAGCTAAATGTTTCTAAATCCCTTTCCTTCTCTCCAGTATGGAGCTTCACTGGCACTGAAACCTCTACAAAGATTTCAGCTGATTTCATTAGGCTTCTAGTCAGACCCAAATTATTTTCACTATCAAAAAAAGAAGAGATGTATAAGGAGGGTCTTAGCTACATAAACCAGCTCTAAAAGCCAGCATGTTCCCACATTCAAATCCTTGATTAATCCTTTCTATTCACCGTGCTGCAGTTCCGTGCTTAGTACATATTAGTGCAACCAGCAGTTCCTGTGCGAGAGCTGAAACATCAGGAGCAGACACGTACCCACCTTAGGAGCCCAGAAAGCCTCAGCAGCCTCTGAAGCAAAACAGGGTCACAGCAGGAGCATAGCTGCACTGGAAGTAGCCTTACTCCATTGGCTGTTCCAGCTGAGAGCATGAATAAACTACAAATACCCTAGTATGACCCTACTTCTTGTAAGAACACTGCAGTGCAGTATATCATCACCATGTTTACGATTGAATCCTGCAGCTGCAGGATGGGAGAAGACTGGGAGGTTTCTTTTAACTTTTTTTTGGCTCTACAGAACTGTGCTGAGTGATGGGTACAAACCTACAGCCATCCATGTCCCTTTGTGTCCCCAAGATATGCTTTTTGGGGGCAGGACACGTGCACATCCACAAGCCCAAACATAGCTGTCAAACATCTCCAGTCCCAATCTTGCAGGAGACGGCTCGTAGGAACACTGTGGGGCTCACAAAGGATTTTCGGACCCAGAAACCAGTGTTATAAATATATATTTATGAAACATCAGAGCTATAATCAGATGTATACGAGAACTAGAAAGTACAATCTAAGAACTCAGTCAGAGATATTGATGAAATACTTGAATGACTCCTGCAGCTAGCTTATGGAGTACATGAAGCTGCAGCAGGGCTTAATTTTGTGCAGGAATGCCAGCCCAATTCCTTCTACCAACCCTCTCTATGAAGAGGAGTGATCAGGCAGATCTCTTGAGAGAAGGAGACCTAACAATTCCTTATCCATATTGCCATGGAGACACCCACACAAACAGAGCACCTCCTTCTTCCACAGTCTCCAGTCGTTCCCGGCTCCAGGGCCGTACAGTGAGAGACAGAGCACACCAGAAATTCAGGTAATACCCAAATTCAATCGTTACCCCTGTCCTGAAACTTCTTCTGAAGTTTAAATCACGTCTGTGTGATCCAGTGTGCTCTTGTTATAATGTTCTCGTAAATTTTTATTTGTGCATGACCCTGCTCTTCTCCTTTCCAGCTGAGATTAATAGCAGGAATACTGAAATGCCATATGAAGGATTCTTGGCTTTTTCTTTTTTCTTTTTTCATGTGAAATAGAAAATTCCAGACATCTCCTGAGTGAGCCTGTTTTTATAAGATTCTTAGCCCACTTTTGGATAAGCAAGCAATTATTTTCTCAAGTAAACCATCAAGTATTTTGAGGGGCAGCCAGTTGTCCTTAACACCTAACATTCAAGTTCTCTTCCCCCTGTTTTTCCCTCTGAAATATTTTTGGGGTGGAACTATTCCAGCCTGCCTCAGCAGACGCCCTACTCCTTCCATTTCTGAGTGCTATGGAAGAGCATCTGAACCAAGCGCTGCGTTTCACTCTGATGGAAAAGTTATCAGGGAGATCAAAGAGTCAAGTAGGAGAAAGTCATAATCCTTCATACTTGCTGGAGTGGGATGTGCAAGAAGTTATGCAAATAAATGAGAATTGTAGGAAAGCAGTGCTTTGTTAAATACCTTCAGTAAAACGACTTAATGTGTTTTATCAAGGATTAATGTTGTAAACAGGCTATAGATACTTCTCATTATCTACAGCTCTGTTCTTGCAAAAGTGCAAGAATCTGCAGCATTACTTATCTGAAGATTCAGATGTGTCAGATGCCTCACATTGATTGGACTCTCACCCAGAAAAGAAGCACAGGTGTTTGCTGCGACAATATTAAAATATTTTATGTACAGAATCTCTCCCCTGCAAGCAGCAATCAGCACTCTATGGTCTTTAAGAGGCTTTCTCGGGCTTGGCAACTCCTTTTTTAAACAGGCAGTTTATCTTCTGATAAGAAGCAGAAAGACTTCATTTATAGTTGTTTAATGCTATTAGAGCCCGTAGTTTCCATAACAAGATAGGAAAAACAAGCCAAGTCTTCTGCGTAGGGCTTTTCTGATCTCCAGGATATAAGAACACATTGTTGGTATCTCGGTGCATGACTCACTGGGCTGCTGATGTCACATGGAATGTGCTGTTAGGCTAGGATAAGCGATAGAGAGACTTCACTTGTACACTGACGTTTCAGCTACCCATTATAAGATGGTAACCAGGAAGAAACTTACTGTAAAACATGTAAAAAATTACTGCTGGAGACGGAAAAGAAACACACTATTTTCCATTCATAACGCCATGCTGTTAAGCTTCCAGGAGGCATGTGACCATAGCACTGATCATGGCAAAACCAAAAGCAGGTCTGTTTTTGTCCTGCAGCCCATTTGGTTGCCACTGGGCTCCTGGAGTAGCTGCACTAGCAGACATAAAATTCAGTTCAGCTGGTCACTGCAGAAGCAAGGTACAGAAGCAAAGAACAGCCTTTCACCAGCCTGTACCCTGTGAACCACTCATACAAGAGATAACAAATAGAATGAGTTTGATTATACATGTGATCATTTTCCTGACCTGTACGTAGACATGTAAATGGTATCAACCTGGATAGATGAAAATAAATATCCTGTTAAGTAGGCAATAAATCTAATTCCTCTTTCATTTGAGAAGGAAACTAAGTGTTGTCCAATATTTGTTGATTGGAACTCTGTGTATAACATGATAAATTGAAGTTTTTTCTGCGGAGAAAGAGTTGACAGTGTTTAAAGTTAAAAGTCCTCTCATCATTTTCTCCTTAGTATGCTTCTACTCTTTTTCTGAATAGAACCATTCATATCATTAAAAATCAAGGCATTGCCCAGGTCTGAGTTCAGCACTTAATGAAGGTAATAAATACTGATCATTGAGGCTGGATCATGATACATCCATCTCTGCCTTCTTACTGCAATCCCCACACGACCAGTGCTCCTGGGGTTTCTTCAAATCAAGACATGCACATGCCCATTAGAGAACTGGACTACCAAAATGCAATGGCAATTCAGTGTCAAAGTCAGGATTTTTTCCCACGTCCAATATTTCCCTAATGACTCTTAAACTCTCCATTACAAAACCCAGATCCTGAGATTTCCAAGGACCTCTTTCTCTTAAAAGCCCTTCTCTTTGGAAGAGAAGCTGGTGGAGTGAGTCCATTCCCATATTTCCTTAGATCTCAATTTTTCTGCATATAGCTTTTTCTGCAAATCTCTGTTTCACCTCCCAAAGTATAACCACTACTTGACACTATTCATTAGGAAGAATGTGAATTTTCATTTACTCACCTCAGAATAACTGGAAATAAGCCACATGTTGTGACACCTGTGTGAGGAGGAAGAAAAAATTATAAGAGAAACTGGAACCAAGACAACTTTATTTCCGTAAGTAGGACCAGTCACATTCTCTGGTTTTGCCATACAAACATTCAAACATTTGAAGTAGTGCTCTCAGTAATATTTGGAATTTGCAGTTTAAAAATAATCCATGTACTCAGGCGCATGCTAATCTTCACTTAGAAACAGCAAAGGAGCACCTGTTATAAAAGCCATCATTCATTTCCAGGTAATTCACAAAGGAAGGAGAAAATGGCTAAGCCTGACAAATATTCATTATAAATTCTTTGTACCTGGCAATCTGATGAATGGGTGGGTAAATGAATGAGCAGAATATATCATTTAGAGTCTCCCTAAGCAACGTCCTTGAATATTCATAGTTTCATGTTCACAGATCACATTCTTTTTCTTTCTTAGCTGAAAGTCTTTCCTTTTCACAACTATTCTAAATAGAAATACCTTGTAGAAAATTCACAGTTTGTGCAGATTACTTTGCAAATAATTATGAAAACATATTAAGAACATTTTGATGATGCTACAGTAACTGGGGGACCATGAGAAAGGCCTTCAGCCTGCTGCATTATCAGTTCTTGGGGAAGCTATGTTGTGATGCTGGGGTAAAACTCTTTAAGGGAGACACCAGAAAGCGCACTGCTCTCTGGCTGTACAGAAGCAGCGATTAACACTGAAGCAAAGGGAGGGTTATCTGGGGGCAGGGTCAAAGATTTCCCAAGGAAAGCATTCTTGAATGAGCAAGCAACCATTTCCAACCATCAGACTTACCTTCTTGCTGGTAAATAACCTTTGATCAAGGGGGAGAGGCATGGCTGCATCTCTTGAATTAGGGTGATTTAACTCCTCTTCCTGAGACAAAAACCAGTTTTATTTTTAGTAAGTATCTTCTGTTGTTGCTGCTGTGTTCAAATCCATGCATGTGTAGTGTCACCTGCTGTCACAAGGCTTAGGCAGGCTGATGGGCATACCTAATAGTCACTAATGCTGCCTGTGTTTCCTTAATGCTCCACTGCTCTGGGAAAAAAATACCCTTCCTAGCTTCCCTCAATGTTCCTACATTTACAGCAGGGCTCATTCAGATGCTGAATGAAAAGCAAAAAAATTAGCAGTATTAATATTGTGCTTAGTGATTTTGATGGTTTCCAGAACAGCTGCTCATGACTCAGACATCACTGACACTGGTAAGCCATTTGCACTGACAGTAGTGTCAATGTGGAGTGCCGTGTCTTCAGCATTTTTTTGACTAGGCACATCAGTGTGCATTCCTCTTTCCTAATGAACATGAGAACACACAGGAAGCTGTGAGAGGTATTTATTTAATACTCGGAAATAATGCAAATGAGGATCAGTTTTCTATAGTGCTTTCATTGGTGAGGAAGCTCAATGCAATTTTTAAATTACCCAAACTGAGGAAACGTCATTAGGAAAAGATCTGAACGAATATCCTACAGAAGGAATTAGATTTTTTCTTTTGAAATAGTGAACAAAGTAAGCAGAAATGAATGAAGTGCAAGCTACACACACCCTGAACTGATTCCCTGAAATGGTAGTGAGAATAAATACATTGCTTATTCTCAGGACAGCTTTGTGCTACTAAATAAGGCAAATATAACAAACCAAAACAAAACCAAAAGCACATCAAAAAACCTACACACAAGCCCAATATGCACTTGAAGGGGCATTTCAGTTAATGAATTGTCTAAACTCCCATTAAGGCCTCATTTCATATGTAGAAAGGAGATGTACAAACTGGAATAGGTGCAGAGTCAGCTACTGAGTTGTCTGAAAAAAATGAAGAGTCAGTCAAACGGGAGGAGGTCACAGAAATTATTTTATCCATTTGCAGGAGGTTAAATAGCAAGGTAAGGGCTGCTGTCTGTCAGTGCCAAAAGGTAAACAGGGGACTCACAGAAGTAATCTCAGCTCATCTACAACACAGGCAAATGGGTAAAAACTGGCTGTGAAGAAAGTAATGATGTAGGGAAGCAGAGACAAGTTTTTATCACCAGAGTGATGCCCTATAGAATTAATGAAAACTGGTAGAAAACTAGTTTGGTTTTGAGCTTGAGCCATTTATTATCATGATAAGAAGGTACTTACTGTGATAGCAGAGAACAGGATTTGAAAATGCAGGGGTTCTCCAGTAGTCTCCCCATTTAATGTTTGTCGAACTATACTTGCAAGGTCTAAATAGAGCATTTATAGAATATGGAGAAAATAAAGCACGCTAGTGTAGTGCTTATGAATAAGACAAGTGCTTAAATACATCCAGTTGGACTCTACTGGAAGTCAGATTTGCTACCATTCTTCTGCATTCCTGAGCTACCTATGTGCTCCCCATGGATACCCAGCATCCATTTCTACCTTTTAAAAAGTTATAAGTAAAGGGCAGAATTTTATCCATGCATCATCTATTAACTCTTTCGTAAACAGTTTTCTCTGCCAAATACTGATATACTTATTTATGCACAATTCAAAGTTATACTGGCATTCATACATAACTGGATACATGAATATTTGAACATAGCCAAGGATTTGACAAAATCATCTGGTGAAGACCAAAAAAAGCATATGGCAATGTTTGGTGACAATTTTCCAACAATTATTTTGCATATTCTTTCCCACTTCTGCCAGA